GGGGGGCAGGCTCAGAGTTCTGAGCACTTATGTCTAGCTAAAGGTGGCCCAGCCTATAAACTGTAACCTGTCGCCATCTCATGGCCAAAGTAAGGAGACAGGAAACAAATTCACACAGTGGGAAGTGTAGACTCATTTTATGCTCACAGACAAATGTTAGGCCATCATTATCCTTGTACTTTTATAAGGATCCTCAACTAAATTCTGAAGTCTCCAAATTTTTACAATTATTGGAATAGGTCCCTGAGTTTATCAGCCTGTACATTTAATTCTCTTGCTTTATGTGCATAAATATTAAAGTCTCCAAAAAATGAAATGTTAATCATTCTTATTTTTACTCTCCATTAAATTGAATATGATATCATTAGCTCTGCTCCAAGGGCAAATTTTTCAAATTCAATCTGGGTGAAAAATCCGCTAGTTTACAGAAAGATTTGCTATCATAACCTCAAGCTGGCTTTTCTGTGTTGGTGTAAATGACTGTGATGCTGTCACAGGTTTTCCCAAGGTCACAGTTACGAGAGAAACATGTTTGCGAGCATTCCTGTCATCTACACTGTGTGGTCTGGAGTTCCTAAGACGTAGACTAGCCTCATGGCCTGTACAGTTTTCCATGTGCACCGCCACATCCTGCGATGACACTGTACAGTTTTCCACGGTAGCAGTTTCTGTATGCAGTAGGATGAAATATTTTGATGAACTGCTTAATTTTTGGATTTTATTTTTTAAGTTGTATAATTTATTTTCTTGCAAAATAAAAGTGTAATATAAAAGCTTTTATCCAGAAAATCTTGATGTTCTACTACAAAAATTTTTACAGTAGTTAAGATTTTTGGCGAGCCAGGAATAGTTAGTGTCATGTGCCTTTAATCCCAACATTCTAGAGGCAATTAGATCTCTGAATTCCAGATCAGCCTGGTGTACTGACAAATTCCAGGCCAGTCAGGGCTACCCTGTCTTTAAAAGCAGTGAAAATTGTTTCAGTTGGGCAGCGCTTCGCCTTTGTCTTTCAGCTCCTTGGAAGGATTCTGTGGCTGTTTAAGACTGACATGGACAGCATAGTGAGGCCGTCTCAGTGAAGAACACTTAGGTTGGGGTTTAATAGGAGACTGTAGCCACCATAAAGAAGTAAGTTGTGACAGTTGGGTGAATGAACACATGACTTCTTACAGAGCCTGAGCCTGTTCCCTTCACTTGGATTAGGGGAGTTTAGGAATAGGAGGGACTTGGAATTGAAGCTATAGAAAAGTGTAAGTTTCACCTAAGTCAAAACAAGATTTTTAATTTGGCTTACATCTTAGGCTTCCCACAAGTCCTTTCCAAAGCTTTTGGCAAGGGCTCAAAGCATTTTGATAAAGGGATGAACATCCTAATGAGGAAGGCACACGCCCACCATCCGGGAAACAGGTTTGACAGTGAGCTAAATTGGAATGCTAGCTTCCTTGTTAACAGCCAGCAATCACACAGACAAGAACGGAGCTTAGAGGCAGGCAACCTTAAAAAAGGTGCATGGGCCTAGGATAGACATTTCTGTTATGGAAGACAGAATTTGCCTGAATTAGGTATAGGTCACTGTCACAGGTTTAAGACAGAAATGTAGTACATAGTAGGACACTTCCAAAATTCCAGCACTTGGGGAGTGGGGAGATGGATGAGCTCAGAGACTTCCTTACCTACATAGCTCATACTACGTGATGCCTTGCCTCAAACAAAGGGCCAGCAGGATGGCTCAGTGGGTAAAAAACATGTTGTGAAGCCTGGTGTTCTGTGTCAGTCCCCACAATCTATGGAGAAGTGGGACAAGAAGACTCCACCCTGAAAGTCATGTGACTCCACAAATGCACTGCAGTATGTGTGCTCACAAAGAATCCAAACTCTCAGCTTTTGGAAAATGGAGTTTATGGCTAGAACACCCGTCCATTATTTGCACATAAAGTCATTTCCAAAGAACAAAAAGGTAACACCTTTCACCAAAAACCAGAATCCTGAGAATATCTAGTGGGCTAGACTAAAACGTTAATCTATGTTTTTGTGAGACAGAATCTTTCCACATAGCCCTGATTGTTCTGGAACTCACTATGTTCATTAGGCTGGCCTCAAAAGAGATCCCACCTGCCTTTGCCTCCTGAGTGCTGGGACTAAGTATCTGTGCCACCACACCCTGCTTAAAAATTTTAGTCGCAAAATTTTGAGGGTCTCAGTGACTCAGCCATTGAGAGCATTTGCTGCTTTTCCATAGGTCCTGGGGTTAACTCCCAGCACCCACTGGGGAAGCCATCACAACCATCTGTAACTTGAGTATCAATGGATTTCATGCCTTCTCATTCTTCTGTGTCTACCAGGCATACATATGGAGGACTGATACACATGCAGGCAAAAGACTCAGACACACATACACATTGTTTTCTCTTTTTCTTTTGAAATCACAGAGCTCTCAAATAAGGATGAACTTCAAGGTCTTAGAAAAAGAACTATCAAAATCATCCAAAAAAAAGGAGGGATGGGCAGAAATCAGATGGAGAAGCTAGGCATGGTATTATGTGCCTAGTATCCCAGTACAGGGATGTCTGAGGCAGTAATATCACTGCAAGTTTAAGGCCAGTCTGGTCTACAGTGAGTTCCAGGCCAACTGGGGCTGCACAACAAAACCTGGTCTCAAAAATGACCAAAAAACCCTTATAAGTGGAAAGAAAAAAAGAACAAAGACATGATAGTATCTTTGAAAAGAAAAACAGGAATGACCTCCAGCTGAATTAGCCGAAAGGGGGGGGGGACCCAAACTGATAAAATTAGAGCTGGAAATAAACTACAACACTGGTGTCAAGCTCGCCTTGAAACCTCGTTTTCCAGCAAATCAGAAAATCCAGGGAACATAGATAAATTTATGGACAACTATGACCTGCCAAAGCTGAATGAAAAGGACATAACCATCTGAAACAGATTGAGTGTTTAGGAATGTTGCCTTTGTGTCTGTGTGACAGCTCTGGCTGGCCTGGAACTGGCGCTAGACCAGACTGGCCTTGAACATGCAGAGATGAACCTGCTAAAAGTTTTTGCCACCATGCCCAGCGATGGAAAAACCTTTACCAAAAATAGCCAATATCTTGAGTCAGCACGGATGGCTCTGTCGGTGAAGGAGCTTGTTACCAAGCCTGTAGCCAGAATCTGATCCCAGGGATCTATGTTGTGAAAGAAGGGACCCTCAAACAAGTCTTTTCTCTGTGTCCTGTGGGACATTCATCCGTTTTCTGACAAGAACACTACAAAACAAAACAGGTGTAGAAAACTTGCTTAGATTATATGACGCTCTGGGTTCAGTACACTGTGGGATGAGTGTATGTTCAAGGCCATCTTTGACTACCCTGTGGTTTTTGAGAGTATCCTAGGCTGCATGGGACTCTGACTTAGAAAAACAGGAAGTGGGGCTTTTGGCTCAGCAGTTCAGACTACGTGTGGCTCTTACAAAGGACGTGGGTTCAGTTCCCAGAACACACCAGACAGTTCACAACCACCTATAACTTCAGTCCCAAGGGTTTCGATGCCTTCTACTGCCCTCCTCAGCACAGGAGGAAGCACACACATGCACACACCTCACCCAAAAGGGTGATGGGAAAGATGAGTGTGCAAATGGCTTGCTTCACACGAGTTTAGATCCTCAGCAGCCATGTCAAAAGGCCGGCATGGTGGCCCTTGATTGCATTCCCAGGGTTAGGGATGGGGCCGGAAGAGAGTGGAGACTGGTCAGCCACTCTAGTGAGCTCCAAATGCAAAGGTAGACCCTGTCTCAAAGACAAAAGGCAGAGAGAGCCACAAAGGGAGTTACCTGAGGTTGACCTTTGGCCAACACAGGCATGCACACAGCTACATAAAAGAAGTTGGCTTGGGGGCTGGAGAGGCGGCTCAGTGGTTAAGAGCACTGACTGCTCTTCCAGAGGACCTGGGTTCAATTCCCAGCACCCACATGGCAGCTCACAACTGTCTGTAACTCCAAGATCTGACACCCACAGATATACATGCGGGCAAAACACCAATTCACATAAAAAAATTAATTAAAAAAAGGTTGGCTTGGAGTAAAATGTTTAGTCTGCATGTTGTCATGCCTTTCATTAGATTAGCTATCCCCAGCTGAAGAGTCAAGGGTCAGCAATGGGCTAGACATAGTACTCCTTGCTTTTAATCCCAGAACTAGGGAGGCGAAGACAAACTGATCTCTGTGAGTTCAAGGCCATCCTGATCTTTGTAGGGAATTCCAGGATAGCCAGAACTGCATAGTGGAACCCTGTGTAACCAAACTCAAAACACCCAACCAACCTTAGCATTGTGTTCCACAAATGGGAGAATTATCATTTAACTAACATCAGCTAATGCATGGAGGGTTTGGTTTTGTTTGTTTTTTTCAGAGACAGGGTCTTCATTTGTAGTTCTGGTTGTTCTAGGACTAGGCTGTCCTTGAACTCAAGGAGATCCCCCTGCCTCTCTCCTGAGTGCCACCACACCCAGCAAGACAGTTCTGTGAAAAAGCTGATGTAATCTTATTATGCAATGAAGCTGAGATAGTAACGTAATTTATTTCGTATCCTACAGAAAAACAACTTAGAAATTCTCTTAACACAAGTAATTGGTTTATTTGTGTTATAAGTGAATGCAGTTGGAACTGCTGGAAACACCAATCTCCTTGGACTGGGAAAATACACTCAAAGGTCAGGCGCAGCTACGAGAATGGAAAGTCTTGGGCTTGAGGAAACGCAGGCGTCAAGAGGTGAAAAGCGGTTTAAGTTGCACCAGCTAGGCGTCAGGCCACCCAGCCCTTGGTCCGGTTCGTCCACATCCTGCCAAGAGCGGCAGGGAGGCTCCGCCCCTGGCTGCGGCCAGGCGCGGCCGAGCGCAGCGGCTGCTGTCGGAGGGGCGGGCCGGCGGCTGCTGTTGGAGGAGAGGGCCGGCGGCGGGGGCTGGAGGGGCGGCCCGGCGGCTGCGCGGGGCGGCTATTGGAGGAGAGGGCCGGGGCGGCGCCCGCCGATGCCGGGGGATCCCGGGGGGAAGAGGCCCACGCCGCGCCGCTCTCTACCCTTGACAGCCCTTCGCGTCCCCATGGCGGCCCTGGCGGCTCTGCGCGGCGGCGTCCGCCGGCCTCTGCTTCGCGGGTTGCTGCAGGTCAGCAGGTTGGGTTCCGGGGATGGGCCGGGTGCCCGCGCCGGCGTGGTCCGCGTGTCCGTCCGTGCTGTGGGAGCTCGGCACCGGCTGGGCAGCGAGGCCCGGCCTGGCCAGGCGCGACGCCAGCCTGCGGAGAGCCGAGGCTGCAGGCCCAGGAGTTCGCCGGCTCTTCGCAGTGTGCTTTTCCTTCCTTCCTTCCTTCCTTCCTTCCTTCCTTCCTTCCTTCCTTCCTTCCTTCCTTCCTTCCTTCCTTCCTTCCTTCCTTCCTTCCCTCCCTCCCTCCCTCCCTCCCTCCTTCCTTCCTTCCTTCCTTCTTTCTTTTCTCTCTCTCTCTCTCTCTCTCTCTTTCTTTCCTTTTCTTTTCTTCTCTTTTCTTTTTTTTTGAGACAGGGTTAGGCCAGGCTAGCCTCGATGTCATTTCTGCCTCTTCCTCGCAAGTCCCGGGATTTTAAAAGCGCGAACCACCACCACCACCACCTGGCTAATCATTGGTGTAATTATCGGTCTTATCAGGGCCGAGGCACTGTGAGATAATCAGGTACTACACAGCTGCTCCTTAAAACTAACAAGATGGATGCTCAGACATCTTGTTAGTTTTAAGTACTTGCAAGAATTTATTTTCCGAAGGTTGCTTTCCAGTGTCTGACAGTCTTCGGAATGGGTGAGAAGGCGCATGAAATTGCTGTGAAGCCTGAGCTTTCCAGTTCGGTGGCAGTGGGAAGCGTTGAGATCCACCTCGGTTTTAAGAGTCGTTTTTATAATATTCCTGGTTCGTGGAACTGGGCCAGGACGGCAGTAGGAGCTGAAAGAGAGCATTGCTATGCAAGAGATTGCGAAAGACTAATAAGCGCAGGTCACGAGGACTGCGGCTCGAGGGCAGAAGCTGAGAGAAACTATAAAGGTAATTTGCTTGGGTTGCTGGTGTCTGCAATTCCGGCCACTGTACATGCTGAGGCAAGAGGAGCTTGAGCTCAAGGGTTTCAAGCCACGTGGGCAATTTGGAGATACCCAGACTCAGAAAGATAAAAACAAAAATAAATCCTGGATGACTGGAATAATGGGAAAGCTAGAAGGATAGAGATGGGCAATACCTCACCCAAAAAATGTGTTCCCAAGAAAGTTGGGTGTGCCTTTTTTTCTGATTCCCCCTTCTCCTCCACTCCCTTTTCTCTCCTCTCTTTCCCCCTTATTCTCTTCCTTCCTTCTTCCCGTCCGTCCTTCCTTCCTTTCCTTATTTTTCTTTCTGTTTGGTTTTGCTGTTTAGGCCAGCCTCACTTGAACGCCTCACTTGAACTCCTCACTCCCCTGCCTCAGCCTCCAGATTATCTGGGTTTAAAAGAGCTCAGAGGAACCAGAGAAACGCTTGATCAGTTTTGTAGTTTGACTGGGATAGCTGGTGAAATTAGTTAACTGGGATTCTGAATAATAATGTTGCCTAGGTGAATTAATTAGATAAGCCAGGTACTCAGCATGTGTCAACACGAAATCTTGGAAAATCTTACTTTACACTTAAGACTTTTATTTTTTATTTATTTGATTTTTCTTTCTTTCCTTCCTTCCTTCCTTCCTTCCTTCCTTCCTTCCTTCCTTCCTTCCTTCCTTCCTTCCTTCCTTTCTTTCTTTCTTTCTTTCTTTCTTTCTTTCTTTCTTTCTTTCTTTTTCTTTTTTGGTTTGGTTTTTTGAGACAGGGTTTCTCTGTGTCCTGGAACTCTCTGTAGACCAGGCTGGCTGCAAACTTAGAGAACCACATGCCCTTCTCACTTAAGATTTTATAAGCAGGTGCAATGAGAAAAGTGAGCCTGAGATGACATGGTGGAGTCCATCTACATGTAATTCAACACTGAAGATGCTGAGGCAGGGGATTTGTGATTCGAGGCTATCCTGGGCTGTATAGGGAGAGTTTGTCTCAAAACAGTGCAACCAGGATAAAATTGATCAAAATATAGAATAGAGTTGGAAGGAAGGGTTCCTGCATAGTATCAAATGCAAATTAAGGTCAGTGAGTCTCTCCCTTTTTGGTCCTGGCTTTGGGGTCTTCTCCATGGATTTCTAAGTTAAGTGGGTCTCTTCCCCGCACTGATTCTTACGGTGTCTAGCTGCCTGTGTTCTAGGCTCTGCTTCCTGCCTGTAGGCTGTATAGCATGTGCCATGTGCTCCCCTACCGTTTATGCTGGCCTTTGCTTTAAGATGGTCTCCAGAATGCATGCTCTTTCTACCTCAGCATTTTGAGTACTGGAATTAACAGTCCAAGGCTGCTTCGACCCTCGGGGCTTCAACGGGGTTCCTAAAGCAGGAGAATGGAAGGAACGGGGAGGAAGGGACGAGAGACGCAGGAATGAAGGCCAAATCTGTTCATCTGATCAAAGCCTCGTTTATTAGAAATTTTTACCCAACTTATACAGGGAGAAGGCAGGAAAGGGGGAAGGTTAATTAACTGCTGCAGGAGATAGAAAGAGTGCTTTCATGGGTTAAATATTGTACCTGCAAGATACCATAAGGATGTTCTCTTAAGATATCTCACAGATGCTCTAACAAACGGATGTCCTCACGATCTATCACCCATGATTTAGGGTCTAGATAACTCTTTCACTAAATAGCTTTAGGTCTCCACTAAATGACCTTTGCTCTCTACTTGGCTTTGGCTTCAGTAGATACCTTTGTCTCCACTAGATAGCTTTGGCTCATTGACTGACTTTGGCTTCAGCAGATACCTTTGTCTCCACTAGATAGCTTTGGCTCACTAATTGACTTTGGCTTCAGTAGATACCTTTGTCTCCACTAGATAGCTTTGGCTCCCGACTGATTGAACCCAAGTTCTCTGGCCCAGTTCACGGTGTGGACCTTCAGAAGTGACCTATTGTGACTTAACACTGACTATTCATTTACTTGATTATAGAACTTTTTTTTTTTTAGAAAGAATTTTTTCATATTCTGTGCCACATTGTGGAATGGCACATTGTGTGGGCCCTTTAACCTTTGCTTTCAAATACACACATGCTCTCTACGATCAACAAACCTTTATGAGACTGTCTAGGGTCCTATTATCCGTCTTTCCATTTATTTATTTATTGTTTTTTTTGGTTTTTTTTGAGACAGGGTTTCTCCTTGTAGCCCTTGCTGTTCTGGAATGTGCTCTTTAGACCAGGCTAGCCTGGAACACGGAGATCTGACTGCCTCTGCCTCCCGAGTGCTGGGACTAAAGATGTGTGCCGCCACCACCTGGCTTTCTGTCTTTTTAACACAATTCTCTTGTCGTCCATGCTGCCCTTGAACTACTGATCCTTTTGCCTCCACTTCCCAAGTACTGAGATGGCAGGCATATGCTGCCATGCCTAATGTATTGGGCAGGGTTTTACAGTTATTTCAACATACGGAATTTACCAGACACATGGCTTTTTTTTTTTTTTTTTCTGTGTCTCTGGTTATACCTATACCTACAAGGGAGCAATTAAAAAAAAAAAAAAAGAGTTTGAGTACAGCCAGTGCTACAGAGTGAGACCCTGTCACAAACAAAACAAAGCCCCCCCAGTCAAGTTAGCCCGCATAACTTACTGGGAAATACTCAATAAAAACAGGCACATATTTCCCAAAGAAGGAAGGACAGGGCAGCATTGCCGAGCTTGAGAAGATTGTCGTTAAGCATTTATTTTTTCAAATAAGCATGTTCTTTACGAGTATAGATTGTGCTAGTACCAGTGTTTCTATACAATTCCATAAAGCTATACCATTGTTGTCTGTTAGATACTCGGGCTGGTGATCAGAGCCACATACATACATGGATAAAACGTCCACACCTATTACTGTGTTTGAATATGTTTCATAAAAATAGCTTTGCCTTGGCATATGGGCAAGCATCCATTAAACGGGGCAGCTTTCATGTGGAGGCAATATTTTTCTTAACCCAGCATTGGCAGCTGTAGCAACATCAATCTCCCAGGGCTACTGTGCCGACTCTGAAATGTCTATTTACTTTTGTTCCACAGACAGTATCGACCTCAGACCAACAGTGGTAAAGCGGCAAGGATAACAGGGCAAGGACACATTCCAGGCAGCATGGGAAACGCCAAAGTTCACTGGGATGTGGGCCGGAGTTAACGTTTATTTCTTTAAGATGTTTAGGCTAGAGGAGGTGGAGAGCAGTTACATGCTTGTGGAATGATGCAGAAGGAAAGGGGAGAAATGACCAGCAATGGGACAAGGTGTAGATGGCACGAGAGCCACAGTGGACACACGGGGACCCTTCAGTGAAAGTGAACCAGACGCTTGAAAGAAAAGACCATTGGTTGAGTAAAGAGGCTTACAATCCCACTTTACAACAGCTAAAGGAATTATTATGGGGTGCGTGGTACCGGGACGAGCCCCATGGACTTGTGTGTGCTAAGCACACCCTCCCACTAAGCTACGCCTCCCTCCAGAAAGGGAACTGTTTGAAGAGGTAGAATAGGCAAGTTCTTGGACATTTAAGGATAGGAAATGAATGGAGCTGGCCTGGCTAGACTTAAGTAGAAAAATCACTAAAAAAGGGATCTCCTGCCTCTTCAAGGCATGTCCGCATTTCTTGAGTATGTTTGTGCTGTTCCTTTCATTCTCTACTTTTTTGTGGCTTTTCCCTTTTGACTCTCACCTCTGCTTTTACATGGTGTTGGCATGAGGTGCTCACCAGCTCCAGCCTCTCAAAATGATTCAACTTAAGTTCCCGTTGTCAACTGACCCAGACTAGACTTATCAGACCAGGATAAGTCTAGTCCATTCTTGGTGCCATCAGCTCTGGTCAGAGCTGGTGAGTTGTCTTATAGCGACTCACGGTTGCCTCTTGCGGAGAAAGGACTGTGGCTGGTAGAATGTCTGGCATATTAACCAGGTCAGCGTTATATTGCCGACAGTGTGATACAGACAAGCAGATTGCACAGAAACAACAGCCTGGAGTATGTGTTAGAGGCTGTGCTTGAGATAGTGCAGGTCATGTTACAGATGCACTTGGCCCTCGTCTCCTTGAGCACAGATGTCATGGCTGAGTGCGCTGTCACCTAAGGGATTGTGTAACTTTGGAGAGTAAAGACAAACACTCACCTTCCTAATTTAATGACAGAGTTTAAAGAAGTGTAGATACAGGGTTGGGTTTGGTGTCAGGGGGATATTGATTTCAAGTCTTACCTAGGCTACATATACACAGTAAGACCCTCTGTCTAAAACAATATTTTAAAAGGTAGAGCTAGAGATAATAGTTGTTTTATTTCAGTTGGAATAAACACAGGCTAATTTAATAGCAACTCGAATCAATTTGTTATTGTATTATAAAAGATTTAAATGGAAGCATGGCAGAACTGAAACACACTTTTGGGTGGAGCCCTGCTTTGAAGCTCACTGCTCAAACCAAGGACTCTTCATCCTTTGAAACCAGAGTAGCTTGTCTCCAGTGCTATTGTCACAGTTCTTATCAAACTTTGAGGAACACGTCCAATTAATTTCGACATTTCTCTACAAGCTTGTATTGCTGCTGGCATATGAGGTAGCAGAACGCACTCCCTACGATGCCTTCGTAAGGTAAATAAGCTCAAGTGCTTTGCTGAAAAAGGAAGGATCACATAACCTTAGGCATGCCGGCCCTCTCTCAGTGGCACAACAAAGACTGAAGACCTCTCCAAATAGGAGACATATTTCGGGATGTTAACATTTAAATCAAACCTAGATGGAGTCATTTGTACAACAGAGCTGACTGCATGGCCTTTCCCCATTATGTCCTCTCGCACCTTCCTTGAGAAGAACCATTGCTATGGACTCACTTCTGCTTTAGAAAACAGGCACGTGTGGTGCTGCCGTTTGTCTGTCCTTAGGACACTTTGTGAAAGCCAGCTTGGATATCAAGACTGTTCCTATTTAGAACTCTACTGTCAAATTTATGTTTTGTTTATTCTGAGTTGTAGGTTGAAAGTTTTAATTATCTGCATTCGGTTAGGACAGAGTGTTTAATCTGTATAAAAATAAAAATCCAGGGGCTGGAGAGATGGCTCAGTGGTTTAGAGCACTGGCTGCTCTTCCAGCCATCTTGAGTTAGGTTCCCAGCAACCACATGGTGGCTCCCAACCATCATATAATGGGATCTGATGCCCTCTTCTGACATGCAGGCATCTGTGCAAATAATGCAATTATATATATAAGTAAGTAAATCTTTAAAAAATAAAAATAAAAATCTAAATTCTTGGGTCATCTGCAAGTCTAGACATCCATAGGGCTCTTTATTGCCCTTCTCACGAGCTCTAACTGCACAATGTAACTGCTATCAGTTTGAATGTTGAACTTGCAGACCTCACAGTCCAGATTCAAATCAGGTATGGCTTTGACCTTTGCTATACATTTCAGAATTTCTTTTGTTGACATATGTTCCTACAAATGGTGTGGCAATAATTAAGCTGTTTTTCTGTTCCTTTGTGAGTGTGGAGCTGAAGGCCAGCCAGAATCTCACACATGCAGGCATTCACTGTGCTGCTACCTGTCCTCCAGCCCCTCCTTCAGTGCTAAAGGATTTTCTGGCCATAGTACACGAGGTATGTTTGCCTTGTGTAAATCAAGAGACACTTGTTGGAAGGTCTTGGGGACTAACAGCAAGTTTTCCTTAAAAAAATTTAAAATAGATTTTCCATCCAGTAGTCTTTAAAATATTATTATTATTATTATTATTATTATTATTATTATTATTATTATTGTGTGTGTATGTGTGTGTAAGTATGTAACATGTATGTTAGAACCCAGCCTGGGCCCTCTGAAAGATTAGCAAGGCCTCTTAAACAGTCTCCAGCCTATTTAAAAAAAAATTAAACAAGGGAGGGGTCTATGGGGGGATACAAAGTGAATAAAATATAATTAATAAAAATTAAAAAAAAATTAAACCATATTTTTCTGAAACTCTACTTTTATGTAACTCAGAACTTAGGTTTAACTTAAATTATGTATTTTTCTTTTCAGGAGGCTAAGGCAGGAAGAGTGTGCATTCAGTGCTGCTCTGGGTCTCAGTGAGTTTGAGGCCAGCCTGGGCTAGAAGAAGGTGCTTTTCTCAGCCCAAGGCCAGAGGTGCAGGTCAGCTGATAGAATGACTGCCTGGCATGCAGAAAGCCCTGGGTTTCATCCTCGTCTCCAAATAAACCGGCTGTGGTAGCTGAGGCCTTAATCTCAGCATTTGGGCGCTAGGGAAGCAGGAGAAATAGATATTCACCATAGACTAAGTTGGAAGCCAGCCTGGTTTTCATGAAATCCTGTCTCAAAACAAATCACAATACAGACTTCCTCAAAACAAATCCACCAAACAAAGCCACTAAATTGTATTAAGTGTTTACTTTATAATTAAGAATCTTTGTTGTTGTTGTTGTTATAGTTACTTACAAATTTTAGGACCTAGAAAGATGGCCCAGTGGTTAGGAGTGCTGGCTGTTCTTGCAGAGGAAGTGGGTTCAGTTGCTACACCTACCTGGCAGTTCACAAAAATCTGTATCTCCAGTTGCGGGGATCTGATGCCTTCTGTCCTCCAGTGGCACTGCATGAGTGGGGTACACAGGTATACATGCAGACAAAATACCCATGACATAAAATAAATGACGTTAAAAATGAAGTTTTAAAATGGCAGTGCCTCAGAAGTAAAAATGTATGTTTCCAGCACTTGGACGGCAGAAGCAGGTAGATCATGAGTTTGAGGCCAACCTGGTCTACAGTGTGAGATCCAGGGCAGCCAGGGCTACACAGAGAAACCCTGTCATGAAAAACCAGGAAGAAAAAAAGAAAAGAAATATTGATTATAACTATTTTCTTTATGATTTATAAAAGTGGTATATGTAATTATGGAAAACATGGAAATAAAAGTGTAAAAATAAAGAAAATCACCTTGCTTCTATTGTTGCTATGTATAAAATCAATGGATTAATTTTGAAGTACTATAACATAAACATTTATCTTACAGGAGGTAAGATGCTTGGGGCGAAGTTATGCATCCAAACCCACTTTGAATGTAAGTATAAATTTATATTGCACCTTATCGTGTCGAGAATTAAAGGACTGTTGCCTGGAGAGAGCCACATGTTGCTAGGCAGGGTGGCTGAGCCTTGTAGCATGAGCTCTGTGGGGGCTGAGCCCTGGGGCTTGGCTTGGGGACCACCAGCCATGCCCCAAGCAAGCAGGCCAGACACAGTTGCAGATATTTGTGCCTTGAGTATATTTGAAGGTTGATGGCACAATGCAGTGGTGAGGGAGAACTAACAGTTCACACACTAAAGCCCCTGTAACCTCAAAAGTGGCTCATCAGTCCATGGATAATTCTCTAAAATACACCACAGAACCGTTTCCCTCCAAACTGTGGCGTGCTCCTCCTATGCTGTGAGGCACCCACACTGCACTGTGGGGGCGCGGTGCAGTGGATGCGTGCATCTGGGAGGGGCTTCACAAGAAAGGGACCGACTACCTGATGGTAAACCAGAAGGGCCTTTACTTCATTTCCCAGTTTCTGCCTTCTCCCTTTGTAGGTTCTCAGAGTGACATCTTTCCATCCTTTTATATATAATGTTTGTAAGGGTGTAGAAACCCAATGTGAGGAGAAAGTGTTTCATGGTATTGATGAGGACTTTATCTACTTTGTCCTATTTGTAGTACAGGAAATTATTGTCCTAGCATGTCCTAATAATACTGTCCATGTAGCCTGTACATCTGGATTGCTAGCCCGGAATTTTCCTCTTTAGGAAAGGAGCTTTTGGCTAGTGGTGTTTATTTTTTTATTTTAATAGCTTTATTAATGGTGCTGGAGAAATGGCTCAGTGGTTAAGAGCGTTTGCTGCTCTTCCAGAGGACCTGGATTTCCTTCCAGTACCCACGTTATGTGGTTCTTAAACACATGCACCTCTAATTCCAAGGGATCTGACACTCTCTTCTGGCCCTGTCTTCGCCTCTGAAGGCACCCTCACTCACATGGGATTCACTTTCACAAAAATATGTATAGGTGTCTGTGTGAGTGTGTGCACAGGTGTGGGGGTGGGGAGTGCGTTTGCCTCAGGGTGTCAGATCTCATGTAGTTGGAGTCCTGGGTGCCTTGCTTGTTACTCAGGGGTTCTTGGTTTTCATGTCTGCACAACCTGCATTCTTAACCTCCTCCTCAGGGTTGTTTATTAAAGCGGTGGGTTCTGAGAGTATGATGTCATCATCTTGAAAAGTTTCTAAAATGTTATTATTGCTGGGTGTGGTGGTGGATACAGGAGGCAGAGATAGGCAGTCTCTGATTTCATGGTCAGTCAGGTCTATAGAGCAAGTTCCATGCAGCCAGAGTTACATGTCATAAAAACAAAACACAAAAACAAACCCCTCCCAAAATAAATGGTTATTTGGGGCTCATGCACGTGTTGTGTGTTGTGTGTGTGTGTACACATGCCTTCTGGAGTATGTATATAAGCATGTGGAGGTAAGAGGATAACCTTGTGGACATTTTTCCTGGGATCAAAGCCATTGCAAGTCTTTACCTGCTGAGTCATCTTGACTGCCCTAATTTTTAAGTCTTTGACTGAGCATAATTGAAACTTAAGCTTCCCCGAGAGAACTGGAAGGGATTTCTATGTGTGTTTTAGAATTTGCCTTACTTTCTTTCTCCACCTCCCTCAGTCTCCCTGTAGTGACCACCCCTGCACTCCCGCAGCCCCACTCCAGCCGCTGTGGGTCAGTGGACTGAACCCATGGCCTTGTGCATGCTCACAAGCACCCCGCCACTGAGCTACACCCTGGTCCTGTTTTTTTGTTGTGCCGTCAGTTGTGGTATGTCATGGCATTTTCCAGCTGCTCAAATATTATTTTAAGCCTTGCTAACTGATTATTCATAAGTTGTCTGGGGTTGAGTGTTTATTAAATGAAAGGGGATTTGAGTATTCCTCTGCAAATTTTCCCCTTCTTCTGTCTCCCCAGGAAGTGGTGATAGTAAGTGCTGTAAGAACTCCCATTGGATCCTTCCTGGGCAGCCTTGCCTCAGTGCCAGCCCCTACGCTTGGTTCCACTGCAGTTCAGGGAGCCATTGAAAAGGCAGGTCAGTGGTTGCATCGTTTTGATTGAGAGGACAAATGATTGGGAGACACATAATTGTTTTGCATTTACTATCTGTATATAAAACTCTTAGAAAATACATGATTTCTATGAATCTAAATTCCCTTGTAGTAGAGAAAATGAAACTTAACAGGAAAAAGAAATCGTTCCTGTCCCATGTCATGTAACCCTAATTATTTGCTTGGTAACCCTAATTATTGGGTCTAGAGAGATGGCTCAGTGGTTAAGAGCACTGGCTGCTCTTCCAGAGGACTTGGGTTCAATTTCCAGCACCCACACGGCAGCTCATAACTGTCTCCAACCTTAGTTTCCGATGACCCAATACCCTTTTCTGGCCTCTCTGGGCACTGCATGTACATGGCATATAGACATACATTTAGGCAAAACACCCATACACATAAAATAAAAATAAATAAAATATTAAACAGAAAAAAACCTGAGTAAATTTAGGGCAGTTCTTTCTGCTGTTTTTAAAAGGGATTCCAAAAGAAGAAGTGAAGGAAGTCTACATGGGCAATGTCATCCAAGGAGGCGAAGGGCAGGCCCCTGCCAGGCAGGCGGCGCTGGCTGCAGGTAGGACAAACGCATTTCATTGTTAATTTCATTGCTTTCATTGTTAATACTCCTGAAAGTGTCAAGGCCGTGTCAGCTTAACAAGTAAATGTATGGCTATTAGAGAAAAGAAAATTTGTAGATTACAATCTCATGCTCTATTTTAATTTGACAATTGTATTTGAAAAAGGACTGTTTCTGATTTTCAAAAGTATGTTTTATCTTGGCCTTAGGTTTGCCTATTTCCACTCCATGCACCACGGTCAACAAGGTTTGCGCTTCAGGAATGAAAGCCATCATGATGGCCTCTCAGAATCTTATGTGTGGACATCAGGTAAGAACCACATTGCTTTAGCTGTCACTTAAAATAACTCCAAAGCCTAGAAAGCGCTTAAGCCCCAGCATATTTATGCAGTAGCAGTGATATTTCTATTGTATGTGTATGAGTGTTTTACCTCCATGTATTTGGGCATCACATATGTGCCTGGGTTCAGAGGCCAGAAGAGGACACTGGCTACCCCTGGATCTGTACTTATAGAGAGTCATGAGCAACCATGCGGGTGCAGAAAATCAAACTCAGGTTCCATGAAGGAGCAACATGTACTCTTAGTTCCGGGCCACATTTCTGCCCGTCTCCACCCTCCTTTTGAAAGAAGATTGATTGTGTCTTATGTTTTTGTCTGTCTGTATGTATGTGTAGCATGGCATACCTGGTACACATAAAGGTCAGAAAACAGTATTGGATGTTGAATGGTTCTGAACCACCATGTGGGTGGTGGGACTTGAACCTGGGTTCTTGGAAGAGCATCAGGTTACCTCGCCATTGACCATCTCTCTAGCCCCTTTGTTTTGTTTTGTTGGTTGGTTTTTTGTGAGACAGAGTTTTTCCGTGTACCTTTGGTTGTTCTGGAACTTGCTCTGAACACTAAGTTGGCCTCAACTCACAGAGCTCCACCTGCCTCTGCCCCCCCAAGTGCTGGGATTACAGACATGTGCCACCACAGCCTGGTCTCCTTGATTTTTCAAAACGTTTATTTCCGTTAATGTAAGCGATGCCACATGTGAAGAGATGCCTGTAGAGACCAGAAGAAGATATGAGGTCTCTGGAGCTGGAGTTACAGATGGTCGTAAGCTGCCTCATGTGGGTGCTGGGAACCGAATTCCAGCCCTGAGAGGCTTTCTATTAAACACATACCCAGTTCTAGCATTTATGAGGAAGAAGCAGGAGGACTGCAAATTAGAGGCCTGTTGACTGAAACTTTACCTTTACCTAAGAGTGAGGAAGAGAAAGCTGCTCAGGGAGTATGCTGTGACATTCAGAGGCTGTTTTTTGGCCGTGTCTGGACGTAAGTACTAATACTTCATCAGTTTTCGGATGGAAGGACACTGAACAGTCACAGATATCAAAGTTACAGGGCTGGAGTGAGAAAACAAAGGTCTTGATTAGAAATTTCTTTATTTCTTCCTAGCCTACCATTGAGTATCACAGCTGAGCTGAAAGTCAGTGTGACATGCTTTCATATTGATTCTCACATATGTAAAAAGCATACTTATGGGGCTGGAGAGATGGCTTAGCGGTTAAGAGCGTTGGCTGCTCCTCCAGAGATCTGGGTTCAGATACCAGCACCTTGTGGCAGCTCACAATCACCCCTACTCCAGTTCCAGGGTACCTGATGCTCTCTTCTGGCCTGAGGTCATTAGGCATGTGCATGGTACACACACATACGTGCAGGCAAAACACTCGTGCACATAACATTTAGAAAATGGAAACAAGAATAACAAACCATACTTCCATGTTCCCTTTTAGAGAGAAAAGGGTGCATTGCGGTCAGAGCTACTGTGTCAGGGACCTTATCATTGAAACAGTATATGCATAACCTAGAAACTTCACAGTTATAGAAGACAAAAGGGAAAAAAAAAAAAAAACTCCATTCCCGAGTATTCCACCAGTTTGGATACTCTGCTACTTAAAAGTGGAGAAATTTGGGCAGATTGTTTTACCTCAGGGTGCTACCTGATGCATGGTAGACCTATGACTACATCTGAACATATTGTATTTTGTACTTAGGGTTTATAATAGAGCAGTGAACAAGAGGGCTTTGACCTCCCCCTCAAATCCTAAAGAATTGTTGGATTTTTGAGTTTCCCAAAACCTTCTACCAGCTCTACTTTCCAAACATTAGGTGTAGTCAAAGTGTCCAATTCTTATCTTTCTCTTTGTTTGATTTGTGTTATCTGAGACAGTGTCTCATGCAGTCCAGGCTGGCTCTAACCTCTATAAAGCCGAAAATGACCTTGAACTTCTGACACTCCTGCCTCAGCCTTCCAAGTGCTAAGATTATAGAAGTGTGCCACCATACCCGGTGTCTAATTTTAATCTTGTCATTGGATACTTTAAGCCATTTTCTTCCCCTCAGGGACAGGTGGTAAAGAGGGCATTTTCCATAGAACCGCAGCTCTAAAGCCACGTTGAACACCCACATGTTGACAGCCGTGTATGTAGAGTAATGGATTGGCAATGCTGAACTGACCTTGGCTTTGTTGTGTTGCGGAGCAGGATGTGATGGTGGCAGGAGGGATGGAGAGCATGTCCAATGTCCCATATATAATGAGCAGAGGAGCAACACCCTATGGTGGAATAAAACTTGAAGACCTGATTGTAAAAGATGGACTAACAGATGTCTACAATAAAATTCATATGGTAAATACTAATTTTAAAAAATGTGTATGTGTGTATGTTGGAATCCATGGAAGCCCGAAGGTGGTGTCCGATCCCCTGGAGCTAGAGTAGCTGGGTTTGAGGCACCTGCTCAGAGATTCTAACTTGGGTACTCTGGGAGAGCACTATGTACTCTTAAGTTGCTGAGGTCTCTAGCCCCCAAATGCTGCTTTAATAGGGAGTGCCATTTAATACATAACCCTTGACTCTTCATGACACACATACATTAAATACTGAATTCTAGAGTAGGTTCTATAAATGTCTTAGACAACTTTATAAAAATATTTTACTATGTCCATTTCTTCAGCGTGGATCAGTTATTTAAAAGCTGCCCCACACTTGAGTGGGGTATTTCCTTCTAAAATGGCAATTCTGTTTCTTGCAACCATTTGCAGACAAGACATAAGGGAGAAGTTACATAGAACAGAAGAAGGGAGTTTAGAGAAATGGAATTGAACTTCTACCCATTGAGTTATGTAAAGGTAATACTTTCAAATTTCTCAGGGCAACTGTGCTGAAAATACTGCCAAGAAGATGAATATCGCACGAAGCGAACAGGATACTTACGCCATCAGCTCTTACACCAGAAGTAAAGAAGCGTGGGACTCGGGGAAGTTTGCAAATGAAATTATTCCTGTCACCGTCTCAACGAAAGGTAGAGGAGACACTTACAAAATAGACTTCAAGTTCTTAGTAGTTTTTTTTCTTGGTTAGATTTTGCTATTAATAGATATTCCATGTTGTAAAATTGATATTTCTATTTAAAACATTTTTAAAACTTATCTTTATTTCATGTGCATTGATGTGTTGCCTGCATGTATGTTTATGTGAGGTGTCAGATCCCCTGGAACTGGAATTACAGACAGGTGTGACATGCCATGTGTGTGTGCTGGGAATTGAACCCAGGTCCTCTGGGAGAGCAACCAGTGCTCTTAAATGAGTCATCTCCCTAGCCCCATGGTGTTTTCATTTCAAATGAGTGTTATCTCTGTTCATCTGAGCCGAACACATTAACAGTTTTGCTTGCAGTTAATAAAGGGGAGGATTACAGGTTAGAAGTAACAGTTCATCCAGTTGCAGAGTGCCCTAAACTTACTATTTTTAGAAAATAATTTACTTTTTTTTTTTTTTTTTTTTGGTTTTGTGCTTATGTTGTATGTTCATGTTGTGGTGGTGTGTGTGCTGGTCAGAGTTGGTTCTTTCCTTCTGCCGTGAGTGTCTCAGGGACTGAACTCAGGTCATCGGGCTTGGTAGGAAGTAGTGTACTTCCTGTTTTTGAGATAATAGTTATCAGAATTATTGCTCATGTAAATGACAGACAGTATAATGCTTATGTATTTTACATAATTTATTTATTTACTCTGGCTTTTCAAGACAGGGTTTCTCTGTGTAACAGCCCTGGCTGTCCTTTAATTCTGTAGGACAGGCTGGCCTTGAACTCAAGAGATCCACCTGCCTCTGCCTCCTGAGTGCTGGGATTAAAGGCATGTGACACCACACCTGGCCTTAAATTTATTTTTAAAAAGATTTTATTATTTATTATATGCACACAGGTACAGGTGCCTGAAGAGGCCAAAGGTACGGGCTCCCTGAAGCTGGAGTTATAGGAAGTTGTGTGTTGCCTGACGTGAGTGCTGAGAACCGCTGGGAGAGGAGTTCATGCTCTTTCAGTGAGCAGTCTATCCGGCTTACATTTATCATTAGTGTGCATGTGTGTGTGCGCACACATGTGCTCTCTGGCATGCATGTGGAGGTCAGAGGATAACTGTGGAATCAGTTGTTTGTTTTTTTCCCTATGTTTCCTTGGGTTCTGGGGATTGAACTCAAATTCAAGCTTATATTCCAAGCACTTCTGTCTGCTGAGCCATCTCACTGACCCTAACAAGAACTTTAAAAAAGGGAATTATATTAGGAAACTAGTAGGGCCACCTCCCAGAAATGAAGGGCTAATGGCATCCACCTCCAGAGTCACGCGTGTTGTAGTGCTCGGCATCAGAGGCCTTCTCCCTAGCGTCACGGGAATAAATCCACAGTACAGACTTAGTGTGGGTTACTTCCCAGGGTGCGCGCTGCGCCTGGGACAGAACTCTTGTCTATGAAGCACGGCTTGAGTGTCTAGCCGTGGAGTACACAGTGAGGTCTGCGACCAGAGAAGAGGGCCGGGAAGACCGCTGTGGAGGCATCTTTAATCACAGTACTTTAACCCCGTGTGACAGCCTGTGCTCCAGGACAGCCAGGACTACAGAAGAAAAAAAAATGAGAGAGGATTGGGAAATAATGGGAGTTGTTGGTGTAGATTGCACCTTCTAGACCTGGAATGGCTTAAAGCATGTCAGAGGTACCATGTGTAACAGTTTTTTCCTGACTGGCTATTTGTCAATGTAGGTAAACCAGATGTGGTGGTGAAAGAAGATGAAGAATACAAGCGTGTTGACTTTAGTAAGGTGCCAAAGCTGAAGACAGTGTTCCAGAAGGAAAATGGTTAGTAGTAAGAAATCAGGCCAAAGGGAAAACCTGAGCTAACATGCAGTGTGCGTCCTTGGACTTGCCTATGTGTGAGTATTTGGCCTGCATGTATGTCTGTTCACAGCCTTGTGCCTGGTGTCCACGGAGGTCAGAAGATGGCATCCAAACCCCAGTCTTCCAGAAAAGCAGCCAGTGCTAACTGCTGAACCATCTCTCCCTAGCCCTTGCCTATCTATTTAAACAAAACTGTAGAAAACATCTAGGTCTCATTTAACATCTTTAGAATACAATGTTCAAATAATATAAATTCAAGGCGTGTTTATTTGTTTAACTAATTTTTTGTGCATTAGTGTGAAGGTGTCAGATCCCTTGGAATGGGCATTACAGACAGTTGTTGAGTTGCCACATGGGTGCTGGGAATTGAACCCGGATCCTTTGGAAGGGTAGACAGTGCTCTTAACCACTGAGCCATGGTTCCAGCCCCTCAAGACATGTTTAAAATTGCCTAATAGTTTATACTTTCAACATATGAAGTCCTAAGGATGAGATTATGTAACATGCTAGAGAATTCTTCACAGGCAAGGATCTCCATAGTTTGCAAATTGAAAATACAGACTTACATATTAATAAGTTCTCTGAGTCTTATGCTGATGGATGTGTTCACTGGTATTTAGTGCCTGGCTTAGTATGTGTTAATACTGAATGTTGGGACAAATAGATCTGTGTTCTGAATATCCTTTTGGGAGGGTGTCCTGGGGATCGAACTTAGGAACTCGGGTATCAGGCGAATACTCTTCTACTGAGTGACACGCCTAGCTCCTACACCTCTAAGAGGTGTGGACCTCTAACCTCTGAGAAAATACGAGCTCTTCAAGGTTAGCTTTGTGCAACTGTGATAGTCTGCAGTTAGTTTCCCCTTTCTTGAAGGAATTGCTTACTTCCAAGTATAGAAATCATCAGTCATCTGTTTGCCATTATCATAGAAATTTATATTGTAAGAGTACATGTTGCCAGGTGGTGGTGGCCCACGTTTTAAATTTTAATAGAAATCTGAGTTAAAGTCTACAGCTGAGTGGTTTTAGTATTCACACATAGATTTGGAGAATACATGTGTGTGCTATGCAGAGATGCTGAGATGAAACATGAAAGTTGTCCATGTACATTCACCCACTGTATGTTTGCATTACCTCTGAAACTCACACACAGCACTCTGACATTCACTGTGGAGCTAGTTTTGTACATGTTACTCAGGACAGAAATTATCTCCAAGTTTATCTATAGTTTGTCTGTACATTTAATAACTTAGACAGTACTCTGTATTTGTGGGAGAGAACAGAAGGGATTCAGTGAAAACAGTGTGTGACTTGCTGTTTTGTTGATTTCAGGCACAATAACAGCTGCCAATGCCAGCACACTGAACGATGGATCAGCTGCTGTGGTTCTCATGACTGCAGATGCAGCCCGAAGACTCAATGTTAAGCCATTGGCACGAATTGCAGGTTACATGTTCTCACCTTGTTTTGCCCTTTTTCTGATAGTGGGGATCCAGGGTTTTACACCATGACCAGTGTAACTTGGGGAGGAAAGGGTGTATTTGGCTTATGCTCCCATGTCACAATTCATCATCAAAGACGAGGACAGAAACTCAAGCAGGCAGGAATCTGGAGGCAGAAGCTGATGCAGACGCCATGGAGAGATGTTGCTTATTGTATTGCGTCTGACGACTTTTTCAGCCCAATTTTTAAATAGAACCCAGGACCATCAGTCCAAGGATGGCATCATCGACAATGGGCTGGGCCCTCCCCCAAATCCCTAATTAAGAAAATGCCCTACAGGCCTGCCTCCAGCCTGATCTTAGGGAAGAAGCATGTTCTTTTTTAATTAATCCATTCTTCTCTTAGGTATTACATCTCTACTACAGTTTCTCCTCCTCTCCTGCAAGTCCCTTACCCAACCCTTTCTTTCCCCCAACCACTCAGGTTTAGACCTCCCAGGGATAGCAACCAAACAAGGCACAACGAATTATAAGATTAACCACATACCATCCAGCCTGAAATCAAGGCTGGAGGAGGCAATCCAGCAGAAGGAAAAGGGTGCCCAAAGCAGCAAGAGTCAGAGTCGGCCCCCACTCCCTATTAGAGGAGTCCCACAAGACCACACTACATAGCTATACAGAGGGCCTAGGGCAGACCTCTACTGGCTCTGATTGTCGGTTCAGTCTTTGTGTGTGTGGTTCTCTTCCCTTGGGGGAGGGGGATCACTGGCCCACAAGGACAGAGGGGGCACAAGTGATGAGCAGAGTTCAGGCAGCTGTTGAGTATGATGGAGAGAGCTTCTGGGAGTCAGCTTCAGAGAGGTAGTTCATTTTATTGTTCCATGGTGAGGTATATGAGTTTTTAGGGTTACAGTCAGGAAGGGTTAGCTGGTTACAACAAAGTACCTGATTATCGTACAGGCAGGAAGGAAAAAGAGGGATAGTCTATTTAATAGCAGGTCCCTCCAACACTTATGTGCTTTCCTTAGTTGATTTTGTGGGCCATGTTCCTGTGGTAGCCTTGACCCCTTTGACTCCTACAATCCTTCCTTCCCCCTTCCTCAGGATTCCCTGAACTCCACCTAACATTTGGCTGGAGGCGTTTTTTCTTTTTTTTTTGAGAGGGTTTCTCTGTGTAGCTTTGGTTGTCCTGGACTCAGTTTGTAGACCAGGTTGCTCTTGAACTCAGAGATATGAATGTCTTAGCTTCCCAGAGTGTTGGTGTTGCTTGGAGGCATTTTCTTAATTGAGGGACTCACTTAGTTGTGCAAGCTGGGCTGAACTCATTCTGTAGCCCAGGCTGATTTCAATCTTGTTATCTCTCTCCCACAGCTCTCCTAGGTAGGATTATAGATTTGTGCCACCAAATTTGGCCTGAGGGTGTGAAAAAAAAAAAAAAAAAGTGCGTGTGAATGTGTGTTCTTGCCTCATGAGTCCTAAGGTGCTTTTCTCAATTGCTTTCCATCTTTTGTTTTGAAAATAGGGTCTCTCTTTGATAACATATATAACGAAGCTGGCTATCTGTCTATTTTGATTGAGACAGATGTTCTTTTAATATTTTTGTTAAAAATCTGCTTTATGTAATGATTTAAGGGCTGGCAAGATACTTCAGTGGGTAAAAGATGCTCTTCCTGCCAAGTCTGATGACCTTAATTAGATCCCTGAAACCCACATGGTAGAAGGTAGAGAACTCATCCCCACAAATTGTCTCCTGACCTTCAGAGATGCCATAGTAGGCATCACACACACACACACACACACACACACAAAAAAAAAAAAACAACAAAAAAAACTTTAAAAAGACTATTATTTAAAAACAAAAAATTCCTGTATCCACCCTATGTAAGTAGGGGAAAGGTGTATTTTGCCCAAAGAGGCAGTCAGCTGGAATAAAAAAATATGGAATTAAGTCTAGAAAAATAGCAAATAAGAATTATTGTCTATATGCATGTGGAGGTCAGAGGACAACTTTGTGGAGTTGGTCTCCTCCCATTTTTACATGGCTTTCAGGATTAAACTTATATCTATAGACTTATACAATAAGTATTTAACAAGCCATCTTATTTTTACTTTTAAAATGTGGTGTGCCTTCTTTGTAAGGACTCAAGTAGAATTTGCTTTATAATACATTTAGCTTAATTTTATTCTTAGCTTCTGTCACAGGTTCTTATTTACATTTGTGGTACTTGGGATTGAACTAACAGCCTTATAAACTCTACCCTTCAGTTGCATGAAACTAGATTTTTTTTTTTTTTTAATTTTAAGGTTTATGTATAGCTGTGTGTCTGTGTGTGGGAAAGTGCACCTATGGCTCCCTAGGTGTCCATGGAGGCTATGGTGTTAGAGTTGTGAGATGCCTACCTGGGTGCTGATAACCTAACTTTGGTCCCCTGGAAGAACAGCGTATGCTCTCAACTGCTCCTAGACTAATGATTTTCACCCTGGAGATCCAATCTACTTAAGGATTTTCTTGCTGTGATGAGAAACCATGACTACAGGACCCCTCTGAGGATGGAACAACCCTGTGATGGTTTAATGAGTGGCAGGCAGTATTAGGTACGACCTTGTTCGAGTAGGTGTAGCTTTGGTGGAGGAAATGCATCACTAAGGGATGGGCTTTGGGGTCTCAGAAGCTCAACCCAGGCCTAGTGGCTCACAGTCCTCTTCCTGCTGCCTGTGGATCTGGATGTAGAACCCTTAGCTGCCTCTCCAGTACCATGTCTGCTGGCATGCTGCCATGTGATGGACTGTGAGCTGTGAGCCGGCCCTAATTACGTTTTCCTTTATAAGAATTCCACAGTCATGGTATCTCTTCACAGCAATAAAACCTGAGACAAACCCTTTCACAGGGTTGCATATCAGATAGCCTGTGTACCAGGCCTTTCTATTATAATTTATAACAATACCACCAAATTTAAAGTTATGAAGTAGCAACAAAAATGATTTTATGGTTGGGATCATCCCAACTTGAGAAACTGTATTAAATGGTTGCAGCATCATGAAGTGATTCTAGACAGTGCCATTGTCTTTAACTTCTCCCCAGGCCAATCAGTGTTTCAGAGACATGTGTGATTTTATTAAGAATAGAATCTTACAAAAAGAGCAATGTGTAACTGGGTGTGGTGGAACACATCTTTAATCCCAACACTCAGAAGGTAGGGGCAGGCACGTTTTTGAACATGAGGCTGGGGCTACCCTGGTCTCCCAAGTGCGTTACAGCACAGACAGGGCTACATAGTAAGACCCTGCCTTTAAAAAATAGAAAAAGAGCAAATACAGTTGTTACATATGGCATAGAGACTGGGTAATGTGCATTGGTTAGCTTGGATTTTGAGTCTTATACACAAGGATGAACCTTTGGGTATATATAGGAGTTTAACAGTGATTCTTTTTTCAGCATTTGCTGATGCTGCTGTAGACCCTATTGATTTTCCAGTTGCACCTGCATATGCTGTACCTAAGGTAAGAAAAAAAATGAGGGGCTGTATGCATCATACTACCCTGTGGTTTGCTTGTTGTACCGAGACTGCAGTTTATACATTTTAAGTGTTTATTTGGAGAAGCAGAGATAAACTGGTATTGAGATTTTCCACTTTACAAAATTGTAGCTATTAGGAAACCTCAAACTCCACCTTCATTAGAACTGATCAGAAGTGGATAGTGGCTTGCAGAGGTTTCTCCATGCTGAAGGGAACCATGGACTGTATGTCTTGCAGTGAAGAGTAATGCTAGGCACAGTAAACCCACACTGTTATTTGTGCTTCCAAAGGCAGACATAACCAAGCTGTGGGTGGCTGCTCACACTCAAAGTAAGATGCTCAGGGTGCTTAGGGGTTCAGAGAGATCAGATGTGTTCAACAAATACATGCTTACAAGAGATAACCTCGAGTTGGCCTTTTGTTTGTATGGCAAGGTCTTGCTATGTTTTTTGGGCTGGTCTTGAACTTGAGACCCCCCTCCCTCCTGAGAGATAGCATTACAGGTATGTACTACTCCATCCAAAGTCTTGAGAATAGTACACAGATTAAAAAGGGAGCATGCAGACAATAGAGAAGGATCAGAAACAACATGAGGTAGCAGATCTCAAGATATGAACAGGCACCTCTGAAAGTGAACACACCAGGTTATCAGCCAATGGTAAAATTTCTAACAGAAAAGGACTTTGGCAATATTTTTAAAAGATATTATCATCATGAGGCTAATCATTAGCACAAATATCCCTTACCCTCAAGATGAGAAACTGTTATGAAACAAAACATGATCAAAGATTTCAAAAAACATGTCATATTTGTGCCTGAGACAATTCCACCGCTTTTCTAAAGAAATTGAGGGGGCATGTAGGAACAGACAAAACTCTTCAAGAATATAGAAGGAAGTAACATACAGCTACCAAGGTAAAGCTTAAGGACATATATTATCATGATGTACTTTCATATAGAAAATGCACCTTTTCAATCACATTTGGAGACATAATGTAATACAAACAAAATTCCGATGATAGAAAAGCAAATGTTAAAAATCATTTTAAAAAGAAAAACCTTTCTATTTAAGTAATTACAAAAAGGAGAAATAGAAATCGAAAGTATTAAGTCTCTAGAAAATAATTAAAATAAGTTGATTGCTAAATATCTGTGTACTGTTCTCGGGCTTATTTTTAGGTTCTTAAATATGCAGGATTGAAAAAGGAAGACATTGCCATGTGGGAAGTGAATGAAGCATTCAGTGTGGTTGTACTAGCCAATGTTAAGATGCTGGAGATTGATCCCCAAAAAGTAAATATCCATGGAGGAGCTGTTTCTCTGGGCCATCCAATTGGGTGAGTACCATACAAATAATTCCACCTAGGCTATTAGCTGCCTCTGTATTTCTATAAGCTGCTTCACCATCATGCCCACTGTTCTTTGATTAGCTGTTTTCCTTTCTGTCCATCTCTAAGATAAACACCATTTCTGATAGATAATATCCAAGAGTAAACATAGACTTAGCACATCTGTAGCCTGAAACCTAACTGCCTTAGTTAGGGTTTCTATTGCTGTGGTGAAACACCATGGGCCAAGTTTGGGAGGAAAAGGGTTTATTTGGCATATACTTCCACATGGTAGTCCATCACTTGAAGTGAGGTCAGAAACTCAAAGAGGGCAGGAAACTGGAGGTAGGAGCTGATGCCAGTGGCCATGGAGGGATGCTGCTTACTGGCTTGCTCCTTGTGGGTTGCTCAGCCTGCTTTTTAAAATAGAACCCAGGACCATCAGCCCAGGGATGGCTCTACCCACAGTGGATTGGGCCCTTCCACTTCAGTAACTAGGAAAATGTCACATAGGCTTGTTGTATATACAGCCTGATCTTATTGAGACATTTTCCTTAATTGAGGTTCCCTCTCAGATGACTGTAGTGTCAAGTTGACATAACAGCACATTAGCAGTGCTGAATAAAGAAGCTAAAGGCGAGGTTTTTACAAGAGCTCTAACGTCTTCCTGAAACTCACCCCTAAACTAAAAAGCACTTAACTCACCCACAAGTGCTGGCTAGTAAGTTTTTCAAGAAACTGATTTGGAATGGAGACTTTACTGGTTAGCCCTACATTCTGTTCTTCATTAAAGAACTAAATGGTTTCTTAATTCTAGGATGTCTGGAGCCCGGATTGTTGTTCACTTGGCCCATGCCCTGAAGCAAGGAGAATTTGGTCTGGCCAGTATTTGCAATGGAGGAGGAGGAGCTTCTGCTCTGCTGCTTGAGAAGCTGTAGACAGCGTGTTTTAGAAAACCGTTCCATGTGACCAGAAACCCTGCTGAAGTGAATGTGACTCCCTTGGCCAACTTATATTTAGCATAAGCCATTTAATTTTTTTAATTATTTTTCAGTAAATCATTTAAAAAAATCATCCCAAACCTATTGAAATTACAAATAAAAATTCTCCTTTATTTTATTTTTGGTAAACCTAAACAGTCTGATATTCTACTATTTGAAGTATCAATGTAGATGCTTGAGACATAGCTCAGCAGTTAATATCTGTTGTAGCTGGGTGGTGCATACCTTTAATCCCAGTACTTAGGAGATAGAGGCAGGTGGATCTCTATTGATTTTGAGGCCAGCCTGGTCTACAGAGCCAGTCCAGGACAGTCAAGGCTACACAGAGAAACCCTGTCTGGAAAAAACAAAAAAGAACATCTCTTGCTCTTGCAGATGTGGTTTGGTTCCCAGGACCCATACTGGGTGTCACATAACCAGGGAGGACTTGTATACTGTATTGTAAGCAGATACCAGAAGTGAGTGAGATATTATGCCTCCCTACCTCACTAGCTGCTGTTACAAGTAAAGGAAGCCCCCAGGAGATACTATGTAAGGATGTCTTTCCTGATGAAAGAAGAGTAGAAGATCCAGCATTTTTATGTCTAAATACACCAAAGAAATGAAAAAGTCACAGCTGGGCTCCTTTAGGAAGGCCACCAATCAGCATCACAACAGCAGCAACAAAGCTCCTTGACTTCTCAAGACCCCAAGTCACCTACTTAACATCAGCAGACTTCCTATTCTACCATTAGAATGAATAGAAAACTGTGGTGGTTTGTTTTGTTTTTGTACTTTAATCTTTGGACAATCAAAATTGGTTTCTAATAAAGTTATGTGAATACAAATGAAAAAGAAAAATGGTTCAATCTTCCAAGTGAGCACAAACTCTGGCAATTCATATCAACTAAATTAGCATTCTTAAAGGAACCCTACAGACAAAGCAAGAAGGAAGCAGACACATTAGAGCACAACAGAGAATAAATTCTGAGAGGAATCCAGACCAGGAGTGACAGAAATAGACCATGCCCAACTCAATAAACCAGCTGAGATCTAGAATGAATAATGGAAGAAAAAAAAATAGTATTCAACCAGGGAAGCAATCAATAAAAGTACTGTAAAGGGGATATATCCTCAACCCAAATTTTTAATGGCTTCAACATAAAAATTTGAAAATATTATCTCAAAAAATATATTAAAAAAGATCTAGTAGGTGTGGTGGAACATGTCTTCAGTCCCAGCTCTCGGGCGGCAAAGACAGGCCAAGCTGAGTCTATATAGCTAGACTGGTCTACAGAGTGAATTCCAGGACAGCCATGACTGTACAAAGAAATTCTGCCTTGAAAAAAACCCAAAAGTCTTGTCTTAGATACCTCACTGGTAAAGACTCATAGACTAAAAGTGGCAGAATGGGAAACCATACGCCTCAAGTGGAAGCTTTAAAAGAAAGCTTTATCCATGAATGACAAAAGCTAGATTTCAAGACAGCTTGTCAGATAAGAATATCACTATTAATGAAGGGAATAATCCATCAAGAAGACAGGACTGGGATTGTGGCTCAGTTGGTAGTGTTGGCTTAGCAGACCTAAAGCCCTGGGCTCAATCCCAGCACTATATAAATAGAATCAGTGCGTGGGGGGGGGGGCACTGTAGAGGAAGAAGAGTTGGAAGTATATACATATATGAATGTTGATATACTCAACTTCATAATAATGAATGTTAACTCTCAAACCCTGGCAAATGTCAGAGTTGCTTTCTTCACATATCAAAGCAGACTTGGCCTCCCAGTATCCGTCAGTCCCTACCTGTTACAGGGGTATGGCTGGCATATCCTGACCTCTACCCTGAACTCCCCAGCCCAGGAGCTGGGGTGCCCTTCCCAGAGGCTCTTCTGGATTATATATAATCCAGATATTTTGGTTCCCTGCTATTTTGTAGCTCTGCCCTCCTGGATGCTTTACCTGGTTCTCCTCTCTCCCCTCCCCTCATGGCCCAGCTCATGCCTGTCATGTCCACGCTGGACTCTCCCAGCTGTGACTCTCCTATGCAATTCCACGTATCTATAATAAAGTCTCTCCTCCACCATACCAAGGAACAGTCATGCCCTTTCTTCTCTGTGTCTTTTCCTTCTCTGAACAAAACCTAACAGTAACGCTATCTGAGCTTATTGGCACTCGAGAGTAGATGACATGCCAAGTGGGTAGGGATTCAAGAATGAACTTCAGAATACAGAACCCAGAAATAAACCAACAGAGCCCTGACTGATTCTCAGCAGCTGTTGAAGAAAGGCCTCCTCATCAAATGGTAATGGGGAAACTGGATGTCTCCACAAAAGAGTAGACTCTCCACTCACCTTGTACAAAAATCAGTTTAAAATGGATCGAACATTAATTTATGACCTGAAACTTTGAAACTGCTATGGAAAACAAAAGGAAGTAGTTCCCAATACAAGCACAGGACAAGTACTGACTAGGATTCCAGCAGCCCAGGAAAGCTGAGCAAGAACTTGAGAAATGGGATTGCACAAAATTCACAACTCAGCACAGTAAATATAATGGAAAGACAGTCTATAGAATGAAATTCACTATTCATCTGACAGAATATATTCATAATATATGAATAAAAATTAAAAACCAAAGGGGGAACTCACACCAAATAATCCAATCAATTTGTGCAGATGAGCATTTTTTTTCTTAAATCCCATATGGTTTATTGGATGGAGAGAGAGAGAGAGAGATGATGGGGGAAGGGGTGCCCCAACCAAGCAAACAGTTCTTAGGAAGTGGAAATGGTCAGTAAACATGAAAGTGTTCACTGTCTTTGGCCACCAGAAATGCAAATCAGAACTAAATTTGGGAGTTCAGGAACTTCCTCAGTAAAGTGCCTGCCCCCATAACCATGAGGACACAGTCCCAGCCCTCCAGCATCCACAGAAAAGCTCAAAGTGGCGTTATGAGTCTAATCCTAGGCCAAGGATGGGCAAACAGGTGGATCCTGGAGTTTGCTGACCAACCAACCTAGGTTATTAATAACCTATGCTCAGTAAAAGAACATTATCTACATTATCTCAAAAAATGAAAATGGTGAAATTAAGCAAGGCATGTTCTTCCAAAGAACTTCAGCTCGGTTTCTAGCACCCATCCTGGGGGGCATCCAGCAGCCTGTAATTCTAGCTCCATGGGATTCAATGCCCTTTTTTGTACATGTGCACAATCCCATAATCAGATATACAAAATTAAGAATGAAAATGAAATAAGGCAGAGACATAGGAAGACACACAACAGATATAGCCTTACCTCAGTTCTATTCTTGTTAAGTCACACTGCAAAGCTTGGGACCAGCCTTACCTAACATCCTGGGCATCCTTGCCCAACAAACTGGTGGATAAAACAGGTTTCAAACAGGGTTCTTTCTTGACACTCCACAGTTAACTTACCTAACACCAACAGCTAACATGCAAATAATCATTAGAGGCAACTCTCCTCAAATACAGGCCTGACTTCACTACTGCTCTTAACTATTTCCTGCTTTGTCCCCTCTGAAGGGTAGCTAGAGATCAGGCAGCCGGCCCTGCCCTCTCAGGCATGCAATGCAAGCCTTAGATTTACCTCCAAGGTCTCGAATAGGTGTGTGGTGGAGACAAGACACAGGGAAAGTGGTATCAAAGAGCCCTCAGGCAGCACTTCCCATTACAATAAGGATCAAGATGACCTCCTGTTTCATTGCTATGTATCAAGAACCTTCCCTACTACCTGTCTCAAAAAGTTCTGCCAGGAAGAACCAATGCAGAAGAGACTAGATTCTTAATGTGGGTATGCAATGCATGCTCAGGCTCCACGTAAATGAGTCTCTAATCCACCCAGGTGAAACCTGCTCCAGAGCGCACAGCTGTTTGCTCACAGTAACTTGTACTATCACTAACCCTTCGAATGGCAAGTAAACAGAGCCCTACTCCCAAAGGCTAGCAATTGCAGGGTTCATAGGACTAGAGTTATCTGCAGCTACATGTCCTGGGAACACTGTAATCCCTTCTAAATCATTTAAAAAAATGCAAGCAGGGGCACCAGGATGGCTCAGCATGTAGGTGTGCTTACTGGAAAATCTGCTGACCTGAGTTCGATCTCTAGAACCCACATGGTGGAAGGAGAGAAATAATTCAGTGTTCTTTTAAAGGAAAAAAAAATGTGAAAGCGAAGCTTATGAATTAAGACTTAACCCTGACATACAACAGCAGCCTCACCTGGGGCCACTCAGGACACCTCCCTGTCTCACTCCTTGCTGTTTTTAGGGATACTAGATAGACTTGTATTAAACTTAAATCCCTCTAGACCAGTGGTTCTCAAACTTCCTAATACCCTAGTTCCTCATGTTGTGGTGACCCCAACAACAAAATTATTTTGTTCTTACTGGCTAACTGTAATTTTGCTAGTTATGAATTATACTGTAAACATGATACACAACCCACAAGCTGAGAACCACTGCTCTAGGCTATGAATTATTTACATGAAAATGGCATCCTCTTAAGTATATAAAACAACTTTTAAATGCTATTAGCCGATATTGTTTTGGAGACAGAATTTCATGGAGCCCAGGCTGACCTCAAATTTACTATGTACCCGAGGAAGATGTTCAACTACTATTCTTCCTACCTTCACAGCCCAACTAATAGAATTACAGGTTTGTACCACACATTCTGGTTCCAGATGCTCTTTGCATTGTCTACCCAGACTTGAACACACTTCTAAATTCAACAAATTAAACTGTGCCATTATCAAAGACCCAATTGGCCATTTAAAGGTACTTTCTCCAAAAGGAAAAAACAACAAAACAGAACAAACCTTTAACCTGGTTCCAGTTTCTGATATCAAAATATTGTATGATTTAGTTCACAGGGATATATTTATATGCACCCTACTTTGTCAAAGGGATCCCTAACACTCTGGCAAGTAAGAGAAAGTCATTACCCTTTCTAGTAATGAGGTTCCCACCAAACAGAGTAAAGATCTTACTCTGAGTGTATGCGTGCTTGGCCTTCTACACCCATCCTGGAAACAATTCCAGTGCATGCCCTTCCTGGACACCTAGATGGTTGCAGGCTCTTTTTCAGCTCAGTGTAGCCAGCTGTTTGACTTTGGGAAGTATGCGCCTCATGTATT